GACATTATAATGATTCCGAAAATGTAATCGTTACAGTTTTCCGATGATCGAATTGAGAGAGATGAGCAAGTAAAAGAACTAACGAACTTAAGCTGTTGGGCCCGGTCCAACTTAAGCCCGTTAGGGTTTTATGCAAGACATATAAATACTTGATTTATAGGTCTTGCACACACACAACTAAGAGAACACACGTTCATAACCCTAGCCGCTGCCTCTCTCGATCAGCCACCCTCTCCCACGGCCACCACCACCGCGCCGTCGCCAGAAATTCGCCGGAATCGGCCACCCGTTGTGCCACGTGTTTAGTAGATCGAAGTATACGAGGTGAAATCCAAGAGGAGGAAGATCGAAGAATCGAAGATGCGAGAAGGTAATTCCGAAAAACTGCTCTCGGATTTTCTGCGCTGCCCAGCGAGAAAATTCGCCATAAATCAACCGGTCATCCGATGGACGTGAAATTTTGACAGCAGCTTCACGACTCATAAATCTACCATCGTCCAGAAGGAATTGTTCATCCAGTAAATACGCATGGAGATACGGAAGTCGGAGCAAGGCTGTAATTTCAGATCAGCAAACAGGTTGGATCAATAGGAGTGGGAAGAGCAGCTAGCCATCTTCTCTGCGTGTGAGATTCACGCGCCGCCGTGGCCGTCTCGCCGCTCTTGCCGCTGCACCGCTGCTGCCCCGATTGTACGGATTGGTTTCCGTAGCAATCTCGACTTGCTAAGCGCTCCTACCTCACGCTTCAAGAGGTAAACACACGAATCCCTTGTTTCGGTTCGTTTACGTTTAAACAATGTATATTCATGTTCGTTTTCGTATGATTTTATGTGATTACGTGAAATCGTTTTAATCGTTGCGAGCATGTTATTTGGTTTAAACGCGAGCATGTTAATTGATTTAAATTCGGTTAAATTATTTAGCATGTATGTTGTTTTTAATTTCGCTGGAAGCGCAAAGGTACGCAATTAATTGATTTAATTTGTCGGGCATGTGCTTGTGTGCTTTAAAGTTGTTTAAATCACATTAAATTTTTATTTTCCGCTGCGTACACGTGCCCGAAACCCAACATCAACTCCATATCATGTGCTCGAGTGGCCAACTCTTCAAAACTTTTAGGTTGAATTACTTGAAGGATATATCGGAGTCCCCATTGCATTCCTTGGATGCACAGTTCAATAGCTGATGTCTCAGACAGTCGATCCTTGCAATTAAGACTCAAATTTCTCCAACGGTTGATGTAGTCGATGACTCAAATTGGTGAGCTCAATCATGCTGACTGTTCTTCGAGTGCTGTAAAAGCGGTTGAGAAATTCTTCCTCTAAGTGCTTCCAACTATCGATGGAGTTTGCCCCCAAATCAATGTACCAATCAAACGCATTGTCTTTGAGCGATCGGACGAATTGCTTGACGAGGTGATCTCCGTACGTCCCGGCATCATTGCAAGTCTCGACGAAGTGTGCCACATGTTGCTTGGGGTTGCCTTTGCCGTCAAATTGTTGAAACTTTGGAGGTATATAGCCCATTGGCATCCTTAGATCATCAATCCTTTGCGTGTATGGCTTGACATAGGTTGATGGAGACTTCGAGCTTCCTTCCAACTTGTCTTTGATGGTTCCACTGATCAGCGTTATCACTTGATCTACATGAATCATCCCTTCTGGAGAAACTTGAAGTTCTTGAGCTGGAGCCTTCTCGTTTTCAACTGGTTGTTGCTTTGTGGATGTCTCGACTTCATCTTGAACTTCTATCTGATTCTCCACAGCTTGACTAGCATCGGCTTTGTCCATCTTGTTGATCAACTCGGCAATTTGAGAATCTCGTTGTTGAACATGCTTTGTGAGTCCCTCAATTGCCTTTGTCAAACTTGCAATTTGCTCCTCCATGGTTGTAGCGTTTGTTGTCATGACGGATGCCACCTCTGAGTAGCTTGATGTTGAACGAGGCGTGGGCTGTGAAATCTTTCGTTTTGAACCTTCCACGTCTGCGCTTGTGTTGACAAGAGGTGGTAAGCCTTTCTGAATGGTTTGAGGCGTCGAGTTAGTCTCGGAGGAGGATGCTTGCAGCTGCAACACTTCGAGGATCTTCGAGAGAGAAGAGATGAGAGGTAGAGATGTCCCACCGGGCGTGCCAAAATTTGTAGCAACAAATTCTTATCTGCGAATTTAACAAACAAGAAAATACTTGCACAAATATAATTTATTGAATTAAAATAAAATATTGCGGGTTACAAACTCTAATTTAATCCTCTGATTATTCTCTCAAGAAAAATATATGATTGACTTTGAATTTCGGAGACGAGTCGTTGATTTGATCTTCTCCGGATTTGATTTGGATTTGAATAACGTCTTCCGAGGGTCTTGCGACTTGAATCTCGGATCGAACGCTGAACTTTGACGGATTTTGACTTGAAGATCTTGGAGTTCTTGATGGATTTGGCCCTTCAATCTTCCTTCGATCTTGATTTGATGTTAATAACGTTAATTCGAGGGTTTAGCACCGTAATCTCGAATTAAACGCTTTAACGCCTTGATTTGATGAAGAACACCTTCGATTTGATGAACTCCTTCGATTTGATGAAGAACGCCTTGAATTTGATGAAGAACGACTTGAATATTGTAGAGAGAATTTTCTCCTACGGTTTTTATTCTTCTTGAGTTGTGCTTTGAATTGTGTAGAGAGGGTCCCTATTTATAGTGGTAGAATAAGAGTCCTACTTAAAGTCTACTTGATGACGTGGCGCGATTCGATTGGCTCTCTTTAAATTGATATTTATCTCTTATAACTTGGAAGAGAAGAAATAATCCTATTGGCCAATAATTAATTGATAATTATCCCCATAACTTATTTTGTTAGATCAATTATAATTTAATTTAGACACAATTTAATTGGCTAATTTAATTAACCAATTAATTAATTTTATGCGTCTACATAAATACAAGACAAGAAAAATTTAGGAAAAAACAAATAAATATATTATCAAACGAAAGCGGATTACAATCTCCGTAATTCCCCTGATTCTTCTCTCCTATTCTAATTTTGATTCAAGGGCTTAAAAGCTTGTTCTTGAATCGAACATATGATTTCCTATCACGAACATCTCGAATTCAAATATGTTATGAATTCGAGGAATCGAATATATGATTTCCTATCACGAACATCTCGAATTCAAATATGTTATGAATTCGAGGCGGAGGCTCGAGACGTGAGCTTGAGAGCTCGATATGTGTCTGTGTGAGTCTGATTTTTAGATGCACCAATGATCTTCTTTTATAGGCACATGCTAGGGTTAGGGTTTCTCGACTTGTAGAGTGGGCCAGACATTTTAAAGCCCAAATATGTTATGGACTTTAATTTGAGACCTAAATTAATAACCGATTTATTTTGGTTATTAATTAGTAATTTATCTCAAATTTTCGATGTCTACAAATGCCCCCACTTCTAGTCTCGGCGAAGAACATGTTGAATATTTGTAAGACGAGACTTGAAGTAATCGAATTTTCTCTCATTTGTTGGCTTCCAAACCTCTTTCCTCAACTTTGGGGTTTAATTTGATAAATCCTTCACCTTGAGGGACTTAAATGATAAGTCCTATTCTTTGATAAGGGCTCAAACGCAATTTATTGCTTCTTGATTTGGGGATCTAACTAATCCATCCGCAGCACTTCACAATTACTCCGACGGCCGCTCACACTTTGGTCTCACCATCTCTCTTTGTAACTTTGAAAATTTCTCCATATGCATATGTTTCACATATTCACGACCACACCATGGGCGATGGTAATGAAGAGCGGCGCCGTAGCATCTTTGGATTCGCCGGAAGAGTTCAGCGCAACACCTAGACGATGGCGAGCTTGGACTATAGGCAGCATCTTTGTTGTCATCGGAGGAATAGGTGGCGCGGCTCTTCAGTCTACTTTGAGTTTGACTGGTGGATTTGAGCGGCCAGCGGTTTGCGGCGGCGAAAGAGGATATAACACCGTCGAGGGCTTCCGGCGGCAAAAATTGAAACGGGATTCATCAGGCGACGATTTTGTCGGCGGGCATATTCCGGCGGCCTCCAGGATTTGACATAGCGGGGAGAATTGTTGGCAAAGGCAAATGATCGCCATGGCTGGCCCCTTTTTTTTTTTTTTTTTTTTTTTTTTTTAATTCATTTAGGAACAAAGATTGTGGATCTGTATTTTTCTTTCTGCTGCCAAAGAGAGGATTTGCTGGAGATTTTCTTCCTTCGTCAATACTCCAAATCTTTTGGCAACTCAATCGGTCGAAGCATAGTAGATTGGAGAAGAAATTGTGCCACTGCGTCTTTGCCCCCAAGCGAATAAAGAGTTTTACCCTTTTTTTTTCGTCCGTATTCACGAGTAGCAATGGTTTCTTAGCCGCCATTGGACAGTTGAATGGACTTAATTTTGACATCGGAGGAAGAGATGAGGGGTGAAGATAGTCCCACCGGGCGTGCCAATTTGTTAACCTCAAATTTTTCGAATCTGTAAAACATAAATACAAGACAAGAAAAATTTAGGAAAAAACAAATAAATATATTATCAAACGAAAGCGGATTACAATCTCCGTAATTCCCCTGATTCTTCTCTCCTATTCTAATTTTGATTCAAGGGCTTAAAAGCTTGTTCTTGAATCGAACATATGATTTCCTATCACGAACATCTCGAATTCAAATATGTTATGAATTCGAGGAATCGAATATATGATTTCCTATCACGAACATCTCGAATTCAAATATGTTATGAATTCGAGGCGGAGGCTCGAGACGTGAGCTTGAGAGCTCGATATGTGTCTGTGTGAGTCTGATTTTTAGATGCACCAATGATCTTCTTTTATAGGCACATGCTAGGGTTAGGGTTTCTCGACTTGTAGAGTGGGCCAGACATTTTAAAGCCCAAATATGTTATGGACTTTAATTTGAGACCTAAATTAATAACCGATTTATTTTGGTTATTAATTAGTAATTTATCTCAAATTTTCGATGTCTACAATACCCCTTGTTCATAAATTGAAGGGTTACACAAAATGTTTAAACCTAGGAATATGAAATGATATTATACATAAATCAATAAATCAAAATAAGCTAATATTTTACCTCGCGTTTGTGCTCCACGTTTTTCGTCTCGTAAAACCCATAATGAATTACCTGTTTACCCAAAACAAAAAAATTAAATAAAAATAATAATAAAAACAGTGAAATGTGGGCGAAAGCTGATCTAATTATGTCCTCAAAAAATCGCCGAAGAGCACCTCCCAGCACTCTTACCAGCATCCACCGCCGCCGCCAGGAAATCCTCCACTGAACCTGAAAATCAAAGAAGAATTCTGATGAATAAACCACTGAAAAACAAAGATGCTAATCAAACTGACCTCGCTCCGATGGCAGCTCTGGAAGAAAAATTGACTTTAAAAGGTTCTTGAGGAGAAAAAGTGTTGGAAGAAAAAATTGGAGCTACGGCGCCGACCCCGAACGGAGTGGCAGTGGCGGTGCGAGGGTTGGCCGAGATTTGAAGCAAGTCAATGGAACACCTGGACAATCGCCGGAAAACGGGTTTAATCGAAATTAAATAAGAAATCAGAAATGGGTGAGGAAGAAAACATCGTATTCAATTCAATGAACCTCAGTTCTGAGTATTAAGAGATATAGATGGGAAAAAATATATTTCTGAAGCAGTGGCAGAAGGAGGACAACGCACGTAGAGGAAAAAGGGAGTGGCTGGAGATATAGACGAGGAGGGCGGCGAGCATACTACTGGAGGAAAAAAGCGGCGCCACGTGATAGGGGCATCGGTCGAAGCGCCGGCGGACGCCGGGCAAAGCGGGTGGCGGAGGTCAACAGTTGTGGGCGATATGTGACGTCGGGCGCTAAAACGGCGTCGTTCTGTACCGAGCAGAGTAAAAGAGAAAGGAACGACGTCGTTTTTCAATTAGCGGAATAAAAGAAAAGCCAGAAATTAAGCAGGCGTGTCGTGGTCAAGCTACTTGGAAAATAAATGAAAAAGAAAATAATAGGAGACGTTGATTGGAGGAAGGAATTGAAACGGTGCAGTTTTGGAATTAAATGGGGCAAAAAAAAAGGAATAAGAAAAGGCATAAAAAGAAAATAGCAGATCCCTATATATATATATACTTAATCCAAAATATCCACTACATTTTCGCAATACCGAGCATAAAACTTTATGACTTACAATTCAAATCTTACGATTCAATTCATTCATATCTATGTCGATTCAAATGTAAAAATAAATCTTAAATATCAACAAATCGATCAATTTTTACGATTTTTGGTCCCTATATATATATACTTAAGTTTTTTGAATTTTCCTTATCTTTCTATGTGCTCCATGCCCTGTTACATGACAGGTGTCGTAAATTATTTCATTATGTATTCTTCACGAAAAAATTCAGTAAAATGCATTCGACTGTTGTTGGTTCTGCCTGAAGCCTTTTTTTTAGCCATTTGTATGTTTTGTGCGAATCGCAAACATTGTCCCATAGGCGGCTGTGTTCAGCCTGCAGAGAGTATACATTACTAATTACACATGGTTATTAATTTTAGACTAAAGTTGTGGTATTGAAAATAACCAAATCAAACTTATCTTATGTTTTCCTCAGCTAAGGTTTCTTCTTCTTTATTGTTGTGCACGTATCTGTAACAAAAACAACTTCACCAATTTGCGCCGTGAGCAGGTTGCCGCAATTGAAATTTGGGCTCTTTATCCTCCGCCGTGACTTCACCAGAGCTCCACCAACCAAGAAGAATCCGAAGATTCGATCGGCGGGAAGTGGTCTGTATGTGCCTTAATTCTTTCACATGTTTTTGCTTTAATTGTTTCTCCTCGTAATAGAGCTCAGTGGTGATCTTCGTTCTCGTCCTCTTCTCCGGCATTCCAAACTCATGGGTGTGTTGTGCTGCTATTTTGCAACTGATGCGGGTGCCCAATTTGGCCACTCGAATGTTGGGGGACTAAACGTGGTCGTCGCCAGAAGAAGTGAGTGTTAAGTTTTGGTTGATTCTTGACTCTTGATTCTTCATTGCAAGTGTCTTATGCTAGTGGGGATTTAAATTTGAAATTGTTTTTGTTTTAGTTTTGATTGTGTCGATTTTATGAAATGCATTGCAGTTGGTTTTAGTTTCAATTTCCACCAATTTTACGTTACGTCTCTCTTTCTTCCTCTCCATTACAATTAAATATTTTCTTAGTCCGCCCGCAACAAGGGCTTGTTGTGCGTTACAAAACCAAAGCCCAGTCATGTCTTTTGGACTGTTGCTCAACATGTTTCGTCAACTGCTGATTTATGCTCTCTTCCTACTGGTATGTCTGTGTCGTTAGTGGAAAGCAGTTAAATGTTTAGTTCTTACTTTTTATTCTGCGTTTTTGCTGATTTGTTCACCTTTAACGACAAATGGGATTCTTTTTGTTTCTCCAAATAATTCACAATCGTTTTTTGTAATACTTTTTCCAGTATTCATTTTCATAGCTTTTGTGCTGTTTTCAATTGGGCTGTTGCAGCTGATGGTTAGTATCATTTCAATGCATCCATGTGTTTGCAACTCTTTCACGAATTTGTTAAATTGTTCTTTTTACCCCAGTTGATCAATATGCACAAAAGAAATGTACTCTTCTTATTTCTTGACCACTTATTTATCTGGTATTTTCTGTACGAGTATGAGTAATTTTTAGTTAATTGATAATTAAATAGAAAAACACTTGATTTATGACAATTTAACTGCCAATAAAAGTTGATTACTTAGAGGTTATTATAACTATACTTTGCTTGTCTCAGGCTATAAGAAAATAGGCAAATTACTTCTTATGCGCATAGGCCTTCTTCCAAATTTTTCCTTCAAATTTTGTTATGTGCATCCCAATTCTATGTATATTGGTGTCCATTGAAGTAGATATTTCAACTGCAGATTAATAAAAATAAATGGAATTTCTTGGCAGACTACTAAGGAGCTTTGAGATTTCCATGTTTGAGATGTACTAATTTTTTGGCTGATCCATGCTACACTCAAGACTTATATATTATGTTGGCGAGGAATTCCTCTTCTTTTAATGCCTAAAGAGGATTATATTTTTTAACGACAATAGTTATGTTGGATTCAAATAGTCATTTGTAAATAATTTGCTTCTAATTGTTTCATAGTTTTGGGTATTACACAGTATTACATTGCGCATTTCCATCATCAACCCTGTCGAAATAACCAATCGACTCGTGCTGATATGATGGCTGGGCACCGTGTCTTGCGCGGTTGACCCCAAAGTGGATCTCTCTTGTAATAATCCGAAATATCCGCCACCAACGCTTTGACTTCTCCTCAGTTATAATTGCGTGTAACTCATTTACGAAAAACTGACCTTTAAATCTTATGATTTACGATTCAAATCTTACGATTCAATTCATTTATACCTAAGTCGACTCAAATGTTAACATAAATCTTAAATATCAAAGAATTGATCAAATTTTACGAGTAACGATTTAAGAGAACTTTAATTTATTATATTATTTATAATAAACTTGGGATAGTTACATATTTGGTCCTTATATTACATACATTGTTTTTTTAATTTTGGTCCTTAAACAAGAAATGCACCCCAAGTGGGGGTCAATTTGTAATTTCTGGTAATCCACTAAAACAGTTTTGAAAATTGCAGAATCGCCGCTATACTTACTCCATCTTCCCAGCCGTTCCACCCAAATAGCAGGTTTAACACCAAAGTAGATCTCTCTTGTAATATCCGAAATATTCGCCATCAACGCAGTATGCTTCGACTCCTCAACTATAATTGCGTATGACTCATTTACCAAAATTCGGAATACCAAGTTTAAACTCTTTTAATTTACGATTCAAATCTTAAGATTTAATTCATTCATACCTAAGTCGATTCAAATGTTCAAATAAATCTTAAATATCGACAAAACGATCAAATATTACGATTTACGATTTAAGAAACAATAATTTATTATATTATTTATAATAAACGTGTTATAATTACTATTTTAGTCCATATATTATATACCATTTTTAATATCAATCCTTAAACCGGAAATGCCCCAGGTGGAGGTCAATTGGTAATTTCCGAAAATCCACCTCCCTAGCTGAAGCAGTTCTGAAAATTGCAGAATCACCCATATACTTACTCCATCATCCTAGCCGCTCCACCGAAAATGCAAATTTGACCACAAAGTGGATCTCTCTTTCAATATCCAAAATATCACATTTATGAAAATTCACAATACGGAGCATAAAATCTTATGACTTACGATTCAATTCATTTATATATATGTCGATTTAAATGTTAAATAAATCTTAAATATCAACTAACCGATAAAATTTTACGATTTTTGGTCCCTATATTATTATATACTTTTTTTAATTATGGCCCTTAAACCAAAAATGCACCCCAAGTGGGGGTCAATTTGTAATTTTTGAAAATCCACCTTCCTCTGTAACAGTTTTGAAAATTGCAGATTCACCCCTATACTTACTCCATCTTCCCAACCGCTTCAGCCCAACTGCAAATTTAACCCCAAAGTGGATCTCTCTTGCAATATCCGAAATATCCGCCACCAACGCAGTATGCTTCTACTCATCAGCTATAATCGAGTGTGACTCATTTACGCAAATTCGCAATACCTTGTTTAAAATCTTATGGTTTACGATTCAAATCTTACGATTCAATTCGTTCATACCTAAGTTGGTTGATTCAAATGATATAATAAATCTTAAATATCAACAAATCGATCAAATTTTATGATTTACGATTTAAGAAAACGTTAATTTATTATATTATTTATAATAAACTTGGGATAATTACAGTTTTGTTCCGTATATTATATATAGTTTTAAATTTTGGTCCTTAAACCGGTAATACCCCAAGTGAGGGCCAATTTGTATTTCTGGAAATAAAGGTAGAGCTACTAAAGGAAGGGTATACTAAAATCGACAATAAGGCACATGATACACAGATGAAAAGAAGTGGTGCCACAAACAGCGGCAATAATTCGATCAAAATAAATTGAGAAAATTAATACCCCGCACACCCTAAAAGATGAAGTAGAGGACAAAGTGGAGCTGCAAGCTTATGGAAAACAAATATAAGCAACGAAAGGAAGGAAGATAACCCAGTCGAAATGGAAAGCTAATTCAACCTGTGGTCTTCCAAATCAGAAAGAAGAGTAACAGAGAAAAACTCCAAATGTGTTGGAGGTTTTAAGAAATAAAGACAATTTTACAATACCCAAATTGCTTGGTATAAATTGTAAAAGGACGAGAAATAAGCTACCTCGTTTACACTAAACTCTATTTTTGTCAATGAAGGCCGCCATTGTATATGACATTAACGGTAGGTAATAGCTACACTTACGAAAACAGTAGGCCTAATGATTGAAATAAACAAATAAATACATCTATGGCCTTTTTTAGCTACGAAGTTAGTGAAGGGGTACTGCAGGAATTTGTCTTGTAATGGACCATTCTGCAAAGCAGACAATTTCCAAATCTCTGTAACTGGACAAGGACAACGTAATATGCATGCACACAGAAAATGCCGCATACATACACACATACGAAAATCCATCATAGACGTAACACACACAAAAGAACTCAAAACTGCAAATCCTTTAATATATATAATGAAAATGAAAAGAAGAAAAGGGGAAGGGAGAAACCACGGGCAACAGGTGAAAAGCAATTCAATTTCCCAAAACCGAAACCGAAAATGAACCTAAACCAAAAACGAACCTAAACCGAAACCGAAACCATGAGATGAGGAGCATGCTTACAAAACAAAAACAACTTTCAGTGTATATTTATGCAAGTAACATATTAAAAAGAAGGCATATATGGCATCCAACAAAATCATAAATTTAAGTAGACATGAAACACAGAGCCCAAAACATATGTTCGCTTCTAAACAACACCGAAGTTGAACCAATCTACAAATCACATAACATCGCCTAAACTAAAACCGAAACCGAAACAAAAACCAAAAACATGAGATAAGGAGCATGCTTACAAAATAGATATAATTTACGATAGGAAGACCAAGTTTCAAAAAATAACATCACACTGCACAAACGCCAAAGCAGTTGATCATCCACACAACTTTTCACTTACCTTGTTCCTACTCACCCGTCAGCTGCTGGTTCTTTTGCATTGAACACAAAAACATCAGAAATTAGCAAAAGTTTACTGAAATAAATTCAATTGAACTTGATAAGATATGTATACCGAGATACTTAATAGAACAAAACATCTGTTGCTCAAATGACTCGTGCTGAATTTTCATTCCAGAAAGACAACAAACAAAAGCACCTGCATCAAGCTGAACAAGTGTTGACTATCCCACAAATAATTAAAAAAAAAAAAAAAAAAACCAACCTCATATGATAAAAAAACCGAATAATTATAAACAACAGATGAGGCATTAACGTCATACCAATCCTTTTAGGCAAACAGGTCAATACAAAATAATGGGCTGCAAAAATGTAATGAAGGAACCACAAGTATCACGTAAAATGGAAAAAATAAAATAACATAATGCTGTAAAAGATAATAAATACTTGCGCTTTCTTCGTGCCTCTTTTCTCCCGTTTGGAAATTCTCTTGTGCATTCTACATCAAATGAGGAGACAAAAGTGTTCAAAAATTTCAATCTAGAATTGTAATACAAATTTAAAATTACAGACATCCAAAGATAAACGTATATCAGTCCAAAATTTCTGTAAAAATCCCCAACGAAAAACGATAAACGTATATCAGTCCAAAATTTCTGTAAAAATACGATATTTGTTGTCTAATAGAACAAACACTAAACAACCCCCAACCATAATTGTAGAACTGACTCAGGCCGACCAACGAAAAACAAGATCTTACCGGGTATAGAATATGCTCCAAGAGTAAGAATATTAGCGTACGTGAGCCATAAACCGTGGTCACACTTCAGATGACCCAATTCATGTGCCAAAACAGCTTGTATGTGATACAACAAGTAAAGGTTAAAGTACAACTCAAGCACTACCAGAAGTAAGGTTTAGTACCTGCAATTCCTTTCTTGACAAAAGCTCCACTAAGCTTGTATGAACGACAACAAATGGCTTTTTCCCACTGATAGCCAAAGTATATGCATTAGACACAGGACTTTGGCGCAAATATAAGTCGGGCGTGTCAATGTTCAGTATACTGGCAGCCTCTACCATCAATGCATGAAGTTCAGGGAGCTATACAAACAAAACAGACACAGTTATACGAGTAATATCTAAAAGAATATAACAATTGCCGCAAATTGAATCAAAAAATAAATATATTTACACAGTACTCAGACTCCCAGAGGTATCATAAAACAGAAGTTCAAACATTTAATGCATCCATAATTTGATACGAAAATATTAGTATAAACAGAACGAATTAAGAGCTTGTATCGTGTACTAAACCTGATTTCCAGAAACAAGAACAGATGTCCCTATATTCTCCAGAAGCATGACTTGCTCAGCAACAGTTCCTACAACCAAATTATCGTTAGCTGAAGAACAAACGATCACTCAGAATTTACTTCAGAAGCGAAATTTTCAAACAGCAGAATAAGATAATCATCAGAAATAGCTTAGTACCTCCTCATATTTCAAACTAAATTCCCAATAAATCAGGGAGACACTATTTTAAACCAATAATTTTTTAAAAGATAAATTAATTGAATTACCTAATAAAGCCTTTCTGATTTCATTTAACCCCGGAATCGCTCTCAAAATCAACGTATTCTGCGATCGCATAAAAACATAGAAAAATGAATTTACAAAAATAATTGATTATCAACTAAAAATAGAAAACCATTAGTGCATCACACCACCACTACCGGAGCCATGAATATTTGCGCTAGGCCCGGAATGCCCGGAATTAACAGAACCACCAGACCCTCCTCTAATAAACACAGTCTTCAAGCCCCTTTTACGGCGCAATTTGCAAATCTGAACTGACCCACCAAATTAGAATCAGAACTACAAAAACCCTAAACGAAAACAAAAGAAAAAAGCACAGACAAGATAGATACGTAATTAGAATCAGTTCGCCTAACATGAGTTTTGCATTAATTTATGAAAGGAAGTTGAAAGAATCGGTAAATAAGTAAATTTAGTGTCCTAACCTGTGACAGTAACCAAATGGTTATCCAAGAATCGGAAAAAAGGTTGAATCTTGAAACCGATTGAATGCCAAGAGAAAAGATCGAAGCTTGTTCAGAAAATGCAGAAAACCCATGTAGGTACTACCTACCCACTTGAACTTCTACGCTGTGAAATTTAAAAGAAAAATAGCAGCACAACACGGCCATGAGTTTGGACGGCCGGAGAAGGGGACGAGAGCAAAGATCACCACAGAGCTTTATTAGGAGGAAAAACAATTAGAGCAAAAAGATGGGAAAGAATCGAGTCCGAGGCGGAAAGGATTTACACAAACCAATTGCACTTCACCCATTTTCGTCCACATCCAAAACCTCAATTTTCTCCCATTTTCATCCTCATCCAAAATTGTGATTCGTTATTTCTTGTGCATCCGCCCCTTTGTCCGATACTCTCTTTTGTGAAGGTAATATACTCCTTTTGTTCTTTTCATTTTCCCGTTTGAATTTTTTCCCTGATTGTGTTTCAATTAGCAACTGAATTAATCTCGATTCCGCCTTGTCGAATATCTCACTGCTCTCCAAATTCCACTCAAATCTCTTCTCTTCTTTCAGATTATCGAGTCTCAACAGCCGGAGAAGAAACAAGAATCATCTTTCTCCGAACCTCGTTTTCTGTAATAAGAACATCTGCCCACAAGCCGATAATCAATATTTTACAGCTGAAAACAAAGATTTGATTAAAAGGGTCGGCCGAGGATTGCTCGGTTTCGCCGCCGCCGTGTCGTTGTTCTGTGATTCGCCGGCGTTTGCTGAATCACTGACTGTAACTTTTCCTGTTTCTCACAACCGTGAGGTAATATTTAAAAAAAAAGAAGTTATTTATTTATTTATTTCATATTACTAAATATTATTTTAATCAGACTCTTACCTCTGTTTTGAAACAGGTAAATACTGTACAAAGAACACTTGTGGAGGCATGGGGTTTGATTAGAGAAACCTTTGTGGATCCAACTTTCAATCATCAGGGTAAGAAAGACCAAAATGCCCCTCGTTGAACTTCTTTCGTTTGATTAGTTTTTCAAGTTTTGAAAATGAATGTAGTTGTGTTCTTGAATCAATAGTTGCCAACATTAGGATGAGAGCTTCGTGTTTGTCGTTTATCGGTTTTATCCTTGTCCGAATCAATGAACTAATAATTCGAAGGGGACTTATGTTTTACAGATTAGGACTTAAAATTACAACAAACGATGGTCGAAATGTTTCCACTTACATCAGAAGATGCTGCGTATAATAAAATTAAAGGGATGCTTTCGACTGTTACAGATCCTTTTACGCACATAATCAGTCGTAAGGTATTTTTTTTCTTGTCTTAATTAATTAATTATTTCAAATTTTACTTATGATCCATTTTTCGTACATTAATGGGCTGTGTGTATATATTTGTTACATGCAGGAATATCAAAGTTTTAGAATAGGAAGCGACGGAAATTTGCAAGGTGTCGGCTTATTTATCAACGTTCAACCGCAGACAGTACACGTGGTGGGTTGACTTTACGCATTTCCGTACTTTTTTTTTATAAATTATAATATCGAATATTGATTTGCTTTATTTTTTTGGTTAATTATGAAGTTTTTTTTTTCCCAAGATTGGCATGTAATTTTCTATTTTACTTTATTTCAAGTTGTTTTATCGTGCATAAAGAATAGCCCAGCTGCGAGAGCTGGTATACGCGAAGGAGATGAGCTAATGGAAATAAATGGTAATTTACATTAGTACTTAATAAACTAGAACAATAGTTTATTGATGAATAGTTTTAATAAAAAATAATAAACAAAATTTCTAATAATCGGTTTGATGATTTTTTTTTTTTTTTTTTGTGGTGCATAATAGGTAAAAGACTCGACTGAGTGGCAAGTGAAGCAGCTGCACAAAAGCTCAGGGGACATGTCGGAACAACTGTTACAGTAAAAGTTCACACTGTAAGAACACTTCACTTGCATTTAAAAAATAAATACTGTTTTTCGAATAATTTTTTTTAATATAATTGTAAATGTCGATTGTGAAAGCTGGTTAATTAATTTTGAACTTCATTGGTGCATTTATGTTTATCCAGGTTGATGACTTCGGGAGTTCTTATATCAGAGAGGTTAATATACCCCGTGAAGTAATCAAGCTTTCACCGATATCGAGTGCTATAATTCCTCACAAATTGCCAGACGGACATTTATCGAAGACGGGATATGTGAAATTAGCAACTTTTTCTCAGGTATTTCATTTTCTCGAGCATTTTTTCAACTCATGAAAATCGATAGAATTTAGCCGTATTATTGACGAACGAGGGTAAAAAGGTAATTTCGATCGTGTTATATAGACCGCAGCATTGGAGATGGAGAATACGGTTCATGAGGTGGAGAGTCAAGGTGTTCAATCATACATATTGGATCTTAGAAACAATCCAGTAAGTCTCTTTTATGTGGATCTGCTTGATTTGTTCAATGAGGTAAATTAACTACTCAGTTATGATGATCCAACAAAAATATTTGTTTGCAATTGTTGAATTCAATATTTGCCCTGTTTTCAGGTTGAATTTCAAACTGCCTCAGGACAGATGATAGATTTAATTACCACTAATGAAGGAGAAAAGGATTTGTCAAAATACTCATTACCACTGTGAGTATATAATACTCAAACTTCTGACATTGAAAAAAAAAAGATAGTCTAAATAAAGTTACAAAATAACTACTTAGATCAGCACTACCTTAATTATCAAGTCCGGTCCTTCCATAAACCAAGCCCTTTGAACGATTTCAAGCCTGCTGTAGTATGCCGAACCAATTATAACAGTTTCCAACATTTAGACTTATTTTCCTTCTCGTCTTTTTTTGGTCTTTAAGATTTTCTGGTTTGATTTCTGCAGTCACCGCCGCATTGTTCAGTACAAGACTGCCTACTACTCATTTTACCTTCCAGTCAGTGGGATATGTTGTAATTTCGCTTAATTAACCTTTATCAAAAGACGAACAGTGTTTCAGTTTTAAATTTCTTATATTTTTATAGGTTGCATGCGCATTGCTCATGGCTGGTGAGGACCTAGACAACCATGTAACCGTGCAAAACGTGCTTATTGATATGGGAATCTACTTTCAAGTACAGGTGAGTTTGTCTGCCACATTTCTGTGTCGGAAAATCATTAAGAAAATAGGTTATGCAATCTCTGGTTTTCATTAGTTAACCAAACCTGTGAAAGCCATTAATACAGTTACTTACATATCAAGATGATCAGGATTTATCTTTCTTTCACAGTTTTCTTGCAGGACATTTTTCGTATTTTCTGTGCGACTTGTTTGAATCTTTCAACTGTTTTCGAATTTTTATGTGGTTACTTGAATGTATGTACATGTGTTAGTTTTTGCATGCACGAGAGATGTCTGCGCAACTAACTTGTTTTTAACAAACTTCATCATTTTTATACTTTTGACATATCTGTTCAGGATGACTACTTAGATTGCTTCGGTGAGCCTGAAAAGATTGGGAAGGTGAGGTCATTGTCCGCGCATTAATAATAATTATTAAAAAAAAAAAAAACCCGTCTTCGTTATTGGATGTTGTATTAATTCTTCGTGATATATGTTTCATCAGATTGGAACAGATATTGAAGATTTGGGATTCTTTTTTTCAATTATAAAATAATATTCGGAAATTTTATTTCTTTAACGAGGATTTTCCTAATGTACAGGTCAACATGGATTTGAAGGTATCAACAAACTTGGAGACATTATTTACTTGGAATTCGAAGTAGGTTTGTCCAATTTAACAATTTCGTGCTATGTCATCGTCATCTGTGTATATTTGTCTCCTCCAATTGCGTAATTCCTGTCTTTTCTCTTCATTTTTCTTTCGAGAGGTCTTTGATCGACGTTCTTGCTCCTTCTTTTCCCTTTTCTTTTATTCCTTATCTTTAATCCAATTTTGTTTTTTCCCCCTTTTGGATTCAATTAGTTATCTATTACAGAAAACCTAACTTTCACTGTTATCGTCTCCTTCTACTCAAATTCATTCATTGGTTTTTCAACTTAAGCACTCTCTTTTTTTCAGCAAAAATATATTTAGATATTTTTTTAAACCAGCCTTTACCTTTTTGCTCAAATTCGTTTTGTTTAAGGTTTGCGATCGGTCAGGTGAGGCCTGGACAGCAGATTGAATCGTCTGTGTGTTTTGCGTTTTATTTGTATATGTCTTGGTACGAGGTAATTTTTCATTTTCCATTTATTTTGGGGATTTTTTCTGCCTATATATATATATTTTTTTCTTTTCACGCAAGTTGGGATAATTTGAAGAACTGAAGGAAAGGGAGAACATAGCCATTTAGTCGTTTGAGAAAAAAAAATTAAGTAAATTTGCTGGTAGAAGAGAGGAAAGGTAAAAGTTTGTTTTACTTCTTTATGATTAATGTTCTGGTATGGTGAGTAGGGTATGATAATATTGAAATGATCTGCAGAATATACACCGATGTAATTGGTTAATGTGTTCTTCTAGCATTTGGATTTGTTTGATTTCAACACCTTTATAAAACCTATTTAGGGTTTAAGTTTTAGTTCCCTTACACATAGATATAGGAGATGAAACAGCACGATGCCTCTTATGCAAGGGATTCTTTGCTTATGGCTTCCAAAGGTTGAGTCGTGGTGCAGGTGACTCTCTTCTATTTTCCTGTAATTTTCTCTTTTTTGTGTTCAACCAATCTAATTTTATTACTTTCTTCATTCGCAGCCATTGTTTCCTTTGTTTTCTTTTTCTTCGTGTTTTCTATGTTCAATTACAGGTTAGCCCTTTTTTGGTGTTTCGGCTTCGATTTGCTGTTGCTCTCTCTGTTCGTATACAGGTTTGCCGCTTTTTCAAGAATTATATTGATGTCTTCCAGTGAAGTTTACTTCTTATAGCTGATTTTATTTGGCCGAGTGAATTCTCAGCTGGAGTTGAGTTCGTCCACATCTGTAGACGGCGCCACTCTAACGAGTAGCTTTGCGCTTCCGACGACTTCGTTTGACGTTGGACTTCATTTGTATTTTTTCCTTACGATTTACTTCTTGTACATTATCCTTCAAAATTTTCGCTCCCTCTCTCCACCACCTCCTTATTTCCCGGCCTCCGTCGACTGGACACACGAGGCATAAATTCCGGCAGTTTTCGATTTGTGTTCTCATATTTTCCAATTTTCTCTGCGCATATTGGTGCTTTAGGGAAGTGGATGAATCGCTGCTCGATCTCAAAAGGCCTTCCCTATTTCCTTCTATGATTGTTTCTTTTGTTGAAGAAAGCGGATGAAATCGCTGCTCGATCGCAAAAAGCCCTCCCTCTCTTCTATGAATATTTGTTTTCGTAGTTGGGGCTATTAGGTCTTTAATTTAAGCAACCTGGATCGTATAATTGCATTTTCAGAACTTTTGAATGCAACAAAATCGGGTGAGGAATCACACGTTCACCTCATATTCATTCTCTGTTTTCCCATTTATTATTTTCTTCTTGTTTTTCAATTTCCTATATATC